GGCTAATTAAATATATGTTTCTTACATTTGTATTTATAGAAATTAGGTTGGGTACCCTCACCTTTGACAATATTTTCAGACATAATCTCAAATAATATGATAAGCATTGCATGTAAAATGTTTCTCACTGTGTAAGTGTTGCATGTAAAATGTTTCTCACTGTGTAAGTGTTGCATGTAAAATGTTTCTCACTGTGTAAGTGTTGCATGTAAAATGTTTCTCACTGTGTAAGTGTTGCACGTAAAATGTTTCTCACTGTGTAAGTGTTGCATGTAAAATGTTTCTCACTGTGTAAGTGTTGCATGTAAAATGTTTCTCACTGTGTAAGTGTTGCATGTAAAATGTTTCTCACTGTGTAAGTGTATAGATCAGTGATTCAAGTTGTGGAGAAGTAACACTTTTTTTAAAACATCATGAATCAGAGCATTTATGACACATGCCTTTTGAATTGTAATTTGATTAAATAATGTAAATATTAATAAAGCATTACCAAATCAGTACTTGTTAAATAAAGCTTTTGATGATTTATCTGCAAGCTAATTATATTAAAAACCTAATGGTTACTTTTGGTTGATAATTCATTATTTGTTGACATGCTGCACATTTTTCTTCTAATACAATACTTTTTTTTGGGGGGGGGGACTGAAGTTTTTATGGTTCTGCATTAAATTTAAGGCAATTTTGTCATTGTCTCTGAAATTTTGAAAAAATAATCACGACACTTTATCAGAATTGGCAAACATTATAAATAACAGTTTTCTACATATTCTATATAATAACAGTTTTCTACACATTCTATATAATAACAGTTTTCTACACATTCTATATAGTAACAGTTTTCTACACATTCTATATAATAACAGTTTTCTACACATTCTATATAATAGTTTTCTACACATTCTATATAATAACAGTTTTCTACACATTCTATATAATAACAGTTTTCTACACATTCTATATAATAACAGTTTTCTACACATTCTATATAATAACAGTTTTCTACACATTCTATATTTAGAGTCAAAAACCATCATGAGTTCTATCATTTTAACAATGGTTTATTTCAAGCTCAGATTTGGTGTAATAATTTTGTGGTTTTCTGATTTATAACATAACCAATGGGTCTTAAATTTTGTTTGTGTGTTTCTTCATCACTGGCTTAATTACACACCCATTAGACATATATTGTTTGTATATGTCTTCATCACTGGCTTAATTACACATCCAATAAAAAATATATTGTTTGTATATGTCTTCATCACTGGCTTAATTACACATCCATTAGAAATATATTTTGTTTGTATATGTCTTCATCACTGGCTTAATTACACATCCATTAGACATATATTGTTTGTATATGTCTTCATCACTGGCTTAATTACACATCCATTAGACATGTATTGTTTGTATACGTCTGCTGTGGCATTTCATACATAAGATATTTATAAAGCAGAATTAGTGTTGGTTTATATTTTAAAGATGGCACCTCCTTGGCTTCTAAACAGTTCCTGATCTTGTCTGACAGTATAAAGAACTAGAGAACAGGTTCATGTTTTCTTGACACACCACAGTACAGCTTCTTGGCCCTGCAAATGGTCAACTGTGTATATTAGAATTTTTTCTGTGCCTCCTATATTTATTTTTCTACTGTGGAAAATTGTTGATAAATGTAAATATGTATTATGTCAATCTTGTTGACCACAACCTTTTGTTAAATCTTACTATGGAATTGGTATTATGTCAACCTTGTTGACCACATCCTTTTGTTAAATCTTACTATGGAATTGGTATTATGTCAAGCTTGTTGACCACATCCTTTTGTTAAATCTTACTATGGAATTGGTATTGTCAGCCTTGTTGACCACATCCTTTTGTTAAATCTTACTATGGAATTGGTATTATGTCAACCTTGTTGACCACATCCTTTTGTTAAATCTTACTATGGAATTGGTATTGTCAGCCTTGTTGACCACATCCTTTTGTTAAATCTTACTGTGGAA